CCACACCATAGCTGGCTGGCATTGAACTTGATACTCCCTTTAAACATTCAGATTGAAAGGCTCCAAATTTCTTATGAGGGAAAAACCTTTGTCTTTCTCAAAACACGTATTTCTTATTTTTCAAAATTACTTTTAACGAAATAGGGCATTTGTGATTTACTCTGTCATGATGATTTCAATGTATCTTAATGTTTGAGTCAGTATTAACAGATTTTTTTGTGTGTGTGTCCAGGGGGGAGATATCACCAAACATGATGGAACAGGAGGACAGTCCATTTATGGAGATAAATTTGAAGATGAAAACTTTAATGTGAAGCACACTGGCCCTGGCTTGCTCTCCATGGCCAATCGGGGCCGGGATACCAACAATTCACAGTTTTTTATAACACTGAAGAAAGCAGAACATTTGGACTTTAAACATGTAGTATTTGGGTTTGTTAAGGATGGCATGGATACTGTGAGAAAGATCGAATCGTTTGGTTCTCCTAAAGGGTCTGTTAGTCGAAGAATTAGTATCACAGAATGTGGACAGCTATAAAATAATTTCACAGTGAATTTTATCTATATAAACAGTTGAATTGTTACAGACAATATGATAATTATGTTCACCTTTTGAAAACAGACATTTCCAATGTATAAATGTAAAATTGTAGCTTATAGCTGTTGTCACTTTTTAATGTGTGATAATTGATCTTGCATGGTGTGAAATAAAAGTTAAACACTGGTGTATTTCAGGTGTACTTGTGTTTATGTACTCCTGACATATCTGTATTAGAATGGCTAATACTAATTTTGTTGAAAGCAATAGAGCTTCTCACACTATTGAAGGAATATGATATATGCAATCTTATTTTAATTTCTGTTAAGATATTTGGATTTCCTGCATGGTACTTACCATTGAATAAGGGGACCACAACTCAGATAATTTTATTTTAGATTTGAAATATATATATGGTAATCTTAACTATTCGTGTGCTCATTTATGTATAGACTCATTTATGAATGGATAGAGCCACAGAAGATGAGTTAACCAAAGTGCTCTTCTGTAATTTTTATGCTCCTGTATAGTTAAAAATTAACTTTTAAGTAGAATACTATCTTTTCTTAAGATATGTAGTTCCCTTTTGAAGACATTAATTTTTACATTTTAAGTAAGTTGATCATTTCCTTAGATATAGCCCCCCATCCTTTTTCCTTCTTCCTTTTTTCTTCCTTCTTTCCATTCACTATTCTGTTACCTGTCTCTACTACCTCAGAAACTTCAGCTTGGTCCTGATGATAGAATTGAATTTTTCTCTAGTTCTTGTGATAAACTATGAATATTTTTAAAAGATCTATACCATGTTCTTTGGTTAAAGATTTGCTTTATATTAGATTGTTGCAGTACCTTTTTCTGGTGAATTTTGTAGCAGAAATAAAGTGATAATTGATAACAGCCATGACATTTAAAACATTACTTGTGCATCTAAGTTGTCTGTTCCTTCTGTGACTTGATGTAAAATGAGATCTGTTGAAGGCCAGCACTCTGAGCTCACACTGTGTCATCAAAATGACACTGAAAATGTACTTGGATGTGGTTTGTGTCAAATAGGCAAACTGTTAGGAACAGCTTGCTCTGAGGGGCCTACTCGGTATAGAACTAAAAGGAATCTAGTTAGACCATAAAATTCTCTGTTTTCCAATCTTGAGTATTGAGTCCTTTCTATTTTCTTGTGTTCAACTATTAGAAGAGGGCAAGGAAGGTTATGGCTTATGTAATGAATTATGAAATAACATTACTTTAAAAAATTCTTATTTCACAGCCAGGTGGAATAAGTTGGCCTTATTAAACATGGCCATGCATACTTAATAGCTTCTTTGGAAACCTGTGTAACATTAACCCACAGAAAAGTATTGAAACTTCTCAGTAAATGGAAATGTCTTCTTAAAAAATCATCTCTTGTAGCCCAGGATTACCTTGCATTGTAGCCTAGGCTGGACTTGAACTCTTCTTGATCTCACTACCTCCACCAGGATTGTAGGCATGTACCCACTATGCATGGTTGCAAATGCTTTTTAAGAGATAATTTTACTTTTTCAAACTATTAGGGTTATTAAAGACCTTGACAAAAACTTGACAAAATGGTGTGTTAAGCTAATTTTTCCAGGATTGGCATCAATAACAGGTGTTTCCAACCTGTTGAGTTACCAGGTTGTGAGCCATCATTTGGGTTCTAGGAATGGAACTCAAGTCTTCTGGAAGAGCTGTCAGTGTTCTTAATGGCTAAGCTATTGAGCTCCTACAAAGAAGTTTAAAAGAAGCTTGAAGTATTTTATAAGATATTTGATACATTTTAGAATGTGTTTATTTTATTTTAATTTATTTAACTTAAATTGGTGTTTCTTTTCCGACTGGCTAGATTTTGTATTCTCATTAAAATCTGCCAAAAAAAAAAACACCAAAAACCCTCGACTCCACAATAAAACAGTTTAGATGGTATTTTATAGCAAAAGGTATTCTTTAAGCATTTTTTAGTAGTTTACTGTCTCCTTGCTAAAGTATCAGCTTTTGAATTTAAAAGTAATCTAAAGAATTTAGATTCTTAGGGGTTGCTGGTCCACATGAGCACTTATTGGAAGTTCTCAGATATGAGCTTGTAGGATATGGTTGAACTGTACTGTGTGCTGTTGTAGGGCTAGGGAAAGAAAGGTTTTTGTTTTAAAGCAAACGACGTGTTTACCGAGCGTTTTTCTGACTTAATGAGGTAGGTCTCCTCATGTAGCCGAGGCAGTTGTCCAATTTAAGACCACGTAGCCCATCCTCCATCTTCCATGCGTAACTCAAATTTGTGGAAATAGGCAAAGGAATTGAAAAGGTAACTTGCTGCAGTTTATGTGCCTAACATTCATACATGTCCTGATTTTTCTGTGATAGTAACCACCTTTGATGAAGAGAAGTGTGTTTGGGCAAGTTGTATGCACGGTAAATTTTCTACCTGATGTCCCACGTGGCCCCTGGCCCTGGGTGGCACGCTGGCCTCAGATGTGCAGAAGACACTCTTCCCTCCTTCTGCCTGGCTGCGCTCGCGAGGGGAGATGGAATGCTGCTTTTCACTGCTCACTTATTTCGCTGGGGGGTGGAGGGTGAGGGGGAGACTTGGAACCGAAGGACAAACTGAAGGGACAAAGAGGAACTGGGTGCGCCCTCCTCGCACTCGTCTTCCGACCGGCTTCCAGCGTCCCTTGGGGGCGGGGCCGAGCGTCGTGACGTACTGCCCGCCCTGACGCGGCTGTGAGCGCGGTTCCCCAGGCGACCGTGGTCAGCCAGCGACCCACCATGGAGCGTAGGGTGGTGAAGCCACCGGGGCAGGACATGATAGTGGAGCGTCTCAAAAGCCTCTACGGCCTGGCGGGAAGCTGCTCCGTGGAGGTGAGGGGAGTGAAGCCCGCGGCGGGCTCCGGCGCCCGGGCGGCTGTGGGAGGGCTCCGGCCTGCCTGCCTTGGGGAGGCTCGCCCGGGAGCGCCTTCCCTCAGGGAAACCGCCGAGATGCATGGGGCGTGGCTTTGGTCCTGCTGGTGGTGACCCGAGTGCAGCAGGCATAGAAGACGACGTGGTTCTTTCGGGCAAGCTTCTTACTCCGAAGTAATTGCAAACTTAGAAGTTGTGGCAGTATGCATTCTTGTAGCCCTCCCTTGAACGTGCCATTCACCAGGGGAGTCTTGGCTTATTTGCTGCGGGATCCCCACCGATGCAATTTGTTAATATCAATCTGTGGGATGAATGCTGGAAGAACCGAAGCGGGGGAAACCAATTGCAGCTATGCAGTTTCCACGAGGCTCATTTATTATTATTATTTATTATTATCATCATCATCATCATCATTACACCTCCTTTGATAAGAGGCGTTTACAGTTCAGCTGAGAAGCCTGCTTCACAGCCTAGCAAATCCAAAGCTCAACATATGAGGTACTGGAACATCATGTACTCTGTTCTCCAGAAGTTGAGGAAGGTAGCAGGCATTCCTTAGTTCCTTCCCACATTTGCTAACTTTTCAAAATCCCTTCTAGAGAAATGTCAGTATATCTCAGAGTTCCCATGCCCGTGTCACAAATCCATTCTATCCTCACATAACCTTAATTCAGATTGTAACACGTACTCCTCTGGTTTGGTTTTCCTGTGAAGCAGGTTCTCAGAATTTTAAAACTTCATTGATACTTTCCAGGATATTTAGTATTGCCACAATAATACAGGACAATGTGTAGCTCATACTTAGATTTCACTAATTACCGCAACTAAGACCTTTTGTAGAAAGTTTTTCCTAATGCAGATGCCACTTAGGTCTGAACATTGCATTTGGTTGGCTCTGTTGCCTTTACAACAGATGCCCACACTTAGTTTCTTACAACATGAATGCTTTCACAAGGTTGAAGAATGTTGTGTATAGAATATCTGTCAGTTTGAGTTTGATTTGATTCTGGTTTGATTTGATTCTGGCTTTGTAGTTTTGGCAGGAATATGATACGGAAGGTTCGTGGGCTGCTGTGATGAATCAACAAGTACATGATGTTTGCTTGTCTAATTAGTGATGCTAATGTTGCTTAGGGTGCGGCCCTAGGTTTTTCCATGCTAACCTTTGTAATTAACATGTAATCTATGGAAAAATATTGTAAGGGAATATTTCTTAGTGTTTAAGTGTGTCTTTTTTACCCCCCTAGCAAGAGTTTTCAAATTTTGATCAGACTAAATATAAAAGAAGAATTCTAACCTCCCCAGGTAAGTCAATAGAATATTTTGTATATTTGAGTATTTTAACAAATTTAATTTGAAAGAAATTTTTGTAATGGTTTAGATGTACGGTTAGTGTTACTTATTTTTTATTTAAAATTTTTTGGTAGATACACAATAATAATTGTGAATTTAGGGATGAATGTGTGAGATGCCCTTAAAAATTAAATTTAACCAGAGTTTTTGGTGTGTGTTATGTGTGTGTTTAATTTATAGTGTGTATACCTTCCCTTTCTTTTTACTCCTGTGCTACTAGGAGTCAAAACCAGACCCTTGATCAAGACTGAGCAAGTGCTTGATCACTAAGCCATGTCCCCAGCTAATATGTTTGTTTTTTAAGATGTTAAAAATTGAGCAGACTGTATTGGGTGAAGAACACTAATTGGTATTTTTAAGCAGGAAGAGTTACTAGGATAGAAAGTAAAGGAAAAATTTATCAAGTGAATGTACTTGGAAAACATAATTATCCTGGGGGTTGTAATGTTTTTTGATAAGCTGAAACTTTTTGTTTTTTTCAAGATGGGGTTTCTCTGTGTAGCTTTGTAGACCAGGCTGGCCTCGAACTCACAGCCATCCGCCTGCCTCAGCCTCCCAAGTGCTGGGATTAAAGACATGTGCCACCATGCCCAGCTACCAGAAAATGTTTTAAATAAAATTATAGGACATTTCCCCAAACTAAAGGAAGAGATGCTTATCAACATATAAGAAGCATCCAGACCACCAAATAGACAGAACCAGAAAAGAAACTCCCCATGACATATGATAATCAAAACATTGAATGTCCAGAACAAAGGATATTAAAATCTGCAAGGCAAAAAGACCAAGTCACATATAAAGGCAGGCTCATTAGAATAACACCTCAGTGGAGACTCTGAAAGTCAGAAGGGCTTTCAAGAGATCACAGATGCCAGCCCACACTGCTATACCCAGCAAAACTATCAGTGACAATTAATGGAGAAAGAAAAGCATTATACAATAAAACCAAATTTAAGTCATTTCTGTTTACCGGTCCACTTGAAGGCAATCTTCATTCTGAAGAGGTTAATTATTTTAGGGCAGACCCCATGTCCAGGAGTAATTGGCAAACACAAGATAAACTCAGTGGTATTTTTGTGGACTTTTTGTTTCATTTTGCTTTGGACACTTTTTGCCTTATTCATCTTTTGGTTTTTGTTTTTTATTTATTTATTTTGTGTGTGTGTGTGTGTGTGTGTGTGTGTGTGTTTGTTGTGTAGCTGTGTTTGTGTTTTTGGTTTTTTTTTTTTTTTTTTTTTGAAAAAGAAAAACCAAAGTTCAGTGGGTAGGAAGATGGGAGGATCTGGGGTAGGGGAAATAATCAAAATATCTTGTATAAAAAAGTGTTTCAACTAATGAAATGAATGATGGGCTACAGAGATGGTTTGTTGGTAAAGAGTGCACACTGAATGCTGGAGAGATGGTTCCGTGCACTGGCTGCTTTCTCTCTCACAGGACACAGGTGTGGTTCCTTGCATGCACATCGCAGCTTCTAACCTTTTATGACTTCAGGTCTAGGCGATCTGATACCCTCTTCTGGCCTCTGCTAGGCACTATGGTGCACAGACATACTGTGCACAGACATACTGGCAGAGCACTCATCCTCATAAAATTTAAAAAGGAAAAAGAAAAGGGATGCACACTGCTTTCCAAAAAACCGAAGTTTTTCTGGTCTCCAGAGCGAGTGCCAGGATAGGCTCCAAAGCTACACAGAGAAACCCTGTCTCGAAAACAAACAAACAAACAATAAAAAAACCTAAGTTTTGTTCCCAGAACCATGTCAGCTCTAGGGGATAGGGGATCTTCCACCCTGTGCTGGCCTCTGTGGGACCTGCACACATGTGGCACACACACAGGGTGAAAACTAAAAAATCTATAGAAATGAATAACCGTAAGTTGTATCTTTCTGTTCAGCTGCGGGGCTGTTTATGAGTAGCACTGAGAGTGGAAATTGGTATGACCTACTTGCCTCTAAGCTTCTGCACCCAAGCTTCTGTTTAACTCTTTTTTTTTAAAGATTTTATTTATTTATTATGTATACAACATTCTGCTTCCATATATACCTGCACACCAGAAGAGGGCACCAGGTCTCATAACTGATGGTTGTGAGCCACCGTGTGGTTGCTGGGAATTGAACTCAGGACCTCTGGAAGAGCAGTGCTCTTAACCTCTGAGCCATCTCTCCAGCCCCCCTGTTTAACTCTTTATATTAGAACATTACATGTTTAGAGTTTTTTTTTTTTTTAAGTTCACCCATCTCTACCTGCATGCTATCATGTCTCCTCATGATGATAATAGACTAAACCTCTGAAACTGTAAGCCACCCCAATTAAATGTTTTCCTTTATAAGAATTGCCATGGTCGTGGTGTCTCTTCACAGGAATAGAAACTTAAGACAGTAATCTATTTTGTTTTTATCTGGAATATTTTCCATTTCACTGGACTTGGATTTGGGCTTGCAGGTGTTAAAGACAAATGCTTGAAGTCCATATTAGGAGGAATGAAGGTAGTATTCTGATTCCAGGTAACGCACCTGGTTCACATCAGCCCTCTGCTCTTTAGGTTCCCAACATGTGTAATAGACTCAGAGGCATCTATTCTTACTTTACAGAGTCATCACCGGGTCAAATAAAAATGGAAAAGCACTGTGTAATCAGGAAGGCACAATGTCAATGTGAAATTCAGTATGTATTCTCTAAACTCATTAGAGAGACAGATAAATCAATGATTTTGGTTAGGATGCCAGAATGAGATTATTAGTATCTGATGTCAATGTGTAACTTTCTCTATTGACAGAAGATTTGGATACCTACTGCTCTGGAGATAGAGGTGTTTCTTCATTAAGATGTTACTCTGATGAAAGGAAGCATCCCACAACACCTTTTTGCAGTTCCTTCAAACACTTAAATGTGAACTGGTAAGACATTCAGAATAGATACTGTTACCGCCCTGTTAGCAACTTAAGAAACAGACAGTAGAAAAGAGGTAGGTAGGTAGGGGGTGTGTGTGTGGGGGGTGTGTGGGTGTGGGTGTTTTTGAGAGGAAGTAAAAGCAATCTTGATCCTGATGAGTGCTTAGATCCTAATTTGCTATTTTATGTGTGTGTGAGCTTTCAGAATTTTTAACTTAGTTTGTACATTTTACATGCATATCTTTTTGTATTTAAGAATTATTTTTTACGAACTGGAGAGGTGGCTCAGAGGTTAAGAGCACAGGCCGCTTTTCCAGAGATCCTGAGTTCAAGTCTCAGCAACCACATGGTGGCTCATAACCATCTATAGTGAGATCTGGTGCCCTCTTCTGGCCTGCAAGCATACATGCAGGAAGAACACTGTAGACATGATATATAAAACCTTTTTAAAAATAATTTTTACGTTTTTCTCATTTGTTGTGATATCACTCCCTGAAAAGCAGTTCATTTTTTGTCAGCTGTTGTAGTGAACTTCCTGATTTCTGACATATATATATATATATATATATTGTTAAAGCCTAGATGATGAACTGGATTCTTTTCATAATTTAAAGAAATGGGAAACAGAAAAAGAATTAACTGAAGATGATCATAGAGATAGCGCCTCCAAAATAACAAAGCAGTCCTTCAGAGAAATAGAAAAAGGTAAGAGAAATACTCATAAATAGGAATTTGTCATGTAGAGTAAATCATGCTTAACTCAGAGTAGTAACAGCTCCTCAGGAATCTGTGTATTCTCTGAGCTGTGAAGTTTTATAAACTGTCAGATGCTTGGTGTGCTTACTATCAAAGGAGAAGAGAAGTAAACATACCATTTTCTGGTTGTGTTCTTCCATTCTCAAAGCCTATCTAAATAAGTTCATGATTAACTGAACTTTTACAATATCTTTAGTTGCTTTTCGTGTTTCCTCGTGAAAAGGGCTTCCGAGGATTTGACTAGCTCTGTGCTTTGAGAAAGTACTATAGATCGATACGGCCAGCTTTCCTGCTGCTCAGTAGTGGTCTTTCTCTTGTCTAACTGAATGTATCCCATAAGTTTGCTCAGGATTTCGAAGACAATGGACACTAAAGGTGGTGTCTGTTCCCCTTTGGCTTCAGGGTTTGGAGCATTACTGTTGCTCCACTGAAGCATCGGGCACGAGCTGTCTACATTATTTTTGCCTGCTTTGCCCTCCTTCATGCCCTTTGTTATACTGGTCTCAGCATTTGAAGATAATGTAGCTTGATTCAGCCTGGACTTGTGTTTTCCAATAGTCACCAGTTTTTATACTGAAAATGTGAGAGAAATTTATCTTTAAAAGTTGAATGTACTTGAAAGTTGACAAAAAAAAAAAAAAAATGAGTGCTCAGGCTAGAGACTGGTTAGTTTGATACCTAGATGGGTATTTCATTCTTTTGCTTATCCCAATAATGAAACTTTTGTTTTGTTTTTTGATTCGTTTTTACCGTATCATTCTTTCCAGACTTCTAAACAATACTGTAGTTTTATTTAAAGCAACTGTCTCAGAAGATTTCTCTGTCTGAGAAAATTTAAAACTTTTGCAGATGCCCTGCCGACTAACATAGCCTCATCAAGACTCCATACTGAACACCACAGTGATTCCGTTGACTCTCCTCTGAAACATGTCATTTATCCAAAATCCAAAGTGTCAAATAAGCAGAGTTTACTTCCACATCAAATAAATCAAATATATGATGAATTATTTCACATCCATCTGAAACTGCAGGTAAAAACCAGATGCTGAATTGGGAATTCAGAAATGTTTATGTTGTAAGACTATTTGCAAAACTTCAATATAAGGAATTTGATTTGAATTATACATACAGGTTCAGGCAAGTCAGAAGGGGCAGGTTTAATTCATAGGATTATTGAATGGGAAATATAGTGACTGAGGGAAAATTCAAAGCAGTGGTAGTTTACTGGGAGATGTGTCTTTAGATTTTAGATTGTCTTATGTTTGCTTTCAGCCTGGCCCATCCTTAAGGTAGAAAACAAAAAGTGCTGATATAAAGTGTCATTTGAAGACATTATATAATGGAGACATTATAAATTTGTTATAATGACTTATGTGTAAGAAGTCTCTTGTCAAAATTCAGTTCTAAACATAAGCATTTATGTTATCTATGGGGTTTATATCTAAAGGGTATATGTGTGTGGTTGGCTGCTTTCTTTTTACTCTTTTGGGGGCCTACCACCTAGCTCCCAAATAAATGCACACACAGAGTGACCTATTCTTATTAATAAATGCCCGGCCTTAGCTTGGCTTGTTTCTTGTCAGCTTTTCTTCTTAACTTAAATTATCCCATCTACCTTTTGCCTCTGGGCTTTACTTTGTGGTTGGCTGTGTCGCTGGGTGGCTGGTCCCTGACATTCTCCTCTTCTTGTTCTCTTGCTTTTCCTTTTCCTTTTTTTTTTTCTCCCAGATTTCTCCCTGTCAGCCTCATCTATTCTTTCTCCTACCTTGCTGTCGGCCGTTCAGCAATTAGACCACCAGGTGTTTTAGACAGGCAAAGAATCACAGCTTCACAAAGTTAAACAAACACAGCATAAATAAAAGCAACACATCTTTACATCATTAAACAAATGTTCCATTAAGCAAATGTAGCACACCTTGAAATAATATTCCTTGACATTTTGTTTATCAGCCTGCTTTCTTAACAACCCAGGATCAACTGTCCAGTGTGGCATTGCCCTTAGAGGGCTGGGTCCTCCTACATCAATTAATCAGGAAAATGCCCCCACAGACTTGCCTAAAAGTCAGTCTGATGGAGAATTTTTTCTGAATTGAGTTTCTCTCTTCCCAGAGGACTCTTAGTTTATATCAAATTGACAAAAAAACTAACCAGCATAGTGACTATTGGGTCTGAGCTAGAAAACTGCACTTTAAATTCATAACTCATTAAGTTTTAAATGTGTTACTATCTTTAATATATTCATGGAGTTGCATATCATCCCAACAAATTTTAGAATATTTCATCATCCCTCAGAGGCAGCCACTATCTACTTCCTGTCTCTTTAGATTTGTCCATTCTGGATATTTTACACTTGCAATCCTATACTATGTAGTAATTTGTACCTGGATTCTTTCACTTAGTGCATTTTTCAGGCTTTTTCTTGTCGAATCTTTATTGCTAAACACTACTCTGTTATATACCTTCTTTATTCATTAATTGCTAGACATTTGGGTTGTGTCCTAGTTTCATTTCTGTAGCTGTGATAAAATACTCTGGCAAAAATCAGCACAGGGGAGGGAATGGTTTATTGGCTTGCAATCCCAGGTTGCTTTCCATGACAGCAGGGAAGTCAAGGCAGCAGGAACTAAAAAGCAACTAGTCATATCATATCCACAGTCAGGAGCAGATAAACCTTGTTATTTGTGTAGATGTTTTCGCTTCCTCTTATGCAGCTCAGGGCCCCTTCCAAGGGAATGGTACTGCTCACAGTGGCCTGGGCAAGGTAGTTCTCCATAGTGTGCTCACAGGCCAACCTGATCATGGTAATTCCATATTAAGACACTCTTCCCAGGTAATTCGAGGCTGTGTCAAATCAACAGTTAAAACCATCTAGTTATAGGTTGTTTACATTTCAGGCTATTGTGATGATGTTGCTGTGAGCATTTGTGTTTTAAGTTTTATATGACCATACGCTTTTAATTCTGTTGGAATGTTGGTCACTATGTTTAACAATTTTTGAGGAACTACCAGACTGTGTTCCAGAGTGGCCACGCTATTTTACACTGGCAAAAACCATTTGATCAAAACAGTGTCAGTGGGTTAAAGCACAATTTGCAGCATTTGTGAACTAATTAAGGAAAACCATTTAAACTGTGTGTTTTGGTAGTGTGAAACTGCATCACAACAGAAATTTGCCGAAGAACTTCAACAACGAGAATGGTTTTTAGCAGAACGGGAACAGCTGCTCTTCAGACACGAGACTGCCTTGAGCAAAATTAAAGGTGTTGAAGAAGAGGTTCTGACAAGATTTCAGATTTTAAAAGAGGTAATTACAAAACTTTTGATTGCAGAGCAATTCCTTTTCCTCAGCTTCATTAATTACGACATTTCACCTCCTTCCTCCTCTTTGCACCCATTCGCAATACCTCATTTTCTTTATTTTTTCATTGAAAATATTTTTCACACAGTGTATTCTGGTCATAGCTTTCCCTCCCTCATCTCCTCCCAGATCCTCCCTTCCTCCCCACCCATCCAACTCCCTCTCTCTCTCTCTCTCTCTCTCTCTCTCTCTCTCTCTCTCTTGCATTCTTTATGTCTAGGAAACAAATAGACAAATAAAACAGAAGATAAAAAGAAAGACAGACACAGGAAGAGACACACAAACACACATAACCTATAAAAATACAAACCCAGAAACCATACTGTATAAGCAAAAGACTAGTAAGGTAAAAACATGCCCAAACAAAGTATTATGAGACCAAAAAAAAAATTCTCCAGAAGTGCCAATGAATTCATTTTGTGTTGGCCATCTATTGTTGATTGTGGAGTCTGCCCTTAAGTGTGGTTTGAATATCCAGTGAAACTCCATAGGAGAAAGCCAATTTTTCCCGTTGGGGCTGGTTGACAATTGAAGATAACTTCTGGTTTAAGGATTGGGGCTCAGATCTCTTTACCCTCTCCGTGTTAGGATCCCATGTGGTTTGGACCTGTGCAGGCCCTAGACATGCTACCACACTCTGTAAGTACATATGTGTGTCAGCCTTGTGTCTGGAAGGCACCATTTCTTTGGTGTCTTCCATCCCCACTGGCTCTTACAATCTTTCTGCCTCCTCTTCCACGTAGGGCCCTGAGCCCCTAGGGGAGAGATTTGATAAAGACATCCTTTTTAGGACTGATTGTTACAAGGTCTCTCACTCTCTGCACATGTCCATTTGTGGCTCTCATTAGTTCCTGCCTCCAGCAGGAGCAAGCTTCTCTAATGATGGTTGAGCAAGACACTGATGTATAAGTATAGCAGAATGTCATTTAGGAGTTATTTTATTGCTATATTCCTTTAGCAGAACATAGTATTTGATTTTCTTCTAAGTCCATGGCCTATCCCAGGGTCTTGGCCACCTTAGCAGTTCCATTTTTTTTTTTTTTTTTTTTTTTTTTTTTTTTTTTTTTTTTTGTTATTTTCAAGACAGGGTTTCTCTATGTAGCTTATCCTGGCACTCGCTCTGGAGACCAGGCTGGCCTCGAACTCACAGAGATACACCTGCCTCTGCCTCCCGAGTGCTGGGATTAAAGGCATGTGCCACCAATACCCGGCTTATCTTTTTTTTTAATAGTTAAAAATTTTCATTTATTTATATCCCGATCGGAGTTTCCCCTCTCTCCTTTCCTCCTGTTTCCTCCCCCCACCTCCCTTCTAACACCTCCCATCCACTCCTCCTCCATCTCCTTTCAGAAAGGGGCAGCCTCCCATCAACAAAGCATGGCACATCAAGTTGAGGCAGGAGCAAGCTGCCTGGGTTCCCAAAAGCCAGCTTAAGTGCCAGGGATAGGTCCTGATCTCACTGCTAGGAGCCTTATAAACAAACAAAGCTACACAACTGTCACACACATACAGAGGTCCTAGGTTGGTCCCATGCAGGCTCCCTAGCTGTTGGTCTAGACTCTGTCAGCTCCTATGAGCTCAAGTCAGCTGTCTCTGTGGGTTCCCCCATCATGACCTTGACCCCCACCGGCTAGTACAATTCCTCTTCCCTCTCTTCAACAGGACTTTTGGAGCTTGGCCCAGTGCTTGGCCATGGATGTCAGCATCTGCTTCCATCAGTTACTGGATAAAGACTCTCTCATGACAATTAGAGGAGTCACTAATCTGATTACAGAAGATAGCTAGTTCAGGCACCCTCTCCACTATTGCTAGGAGTCTTAGCTGGTGTCATCCTTATGGATTCCTGGGAGTTTCCCTGGCACCAGGTTTCTCCCTAACTCCAAAATGGCTCCCCTATCAAGACATCATTTTTATTACTCTCCCCCTCTGTCCAACCCCTAACCTACCCAACCTGATCCCTCATGTTCCCATCCCCTGCCCCACTCCTGCCCCTACCCCCAGTTTACCCAGGAGATCTCTTCTATTTCCTCTTCCCAGGGAAATCCATGCATCCCTCTTTGGGCCCTAACCAATCTGGGGTTGTGGATTATAGCCAGGTTACCATTTACTTTACACCTAATATCTACTTGTGAGTGAGTACATGCTGTGTTTGACCTTTTGGGTCTGGCTTACCTCCCTCAGGATGATTTTTTTTTTCCTAGTTGCATCCATTTGCCTGCAAATTCCATGATATCATTTTTCTTTTTTTACAGCTGAGTAATGCTCCATTTGGGTTAATGTACCACATTTTCTTTATCCACTCTTTGGTTGAGGGGCATCTAAATTGTTTCCAGGTTTTGGCTATTATGAATAACACTGCTGTGAACATAGTCAAGCAAGTGTCCTTGTGGTATGATTGAGCATCCTTTGGGTATATTCCCAAGATTGGTATAGCCGGGTCTTGAGGTAGACCGATTCCCAGTTTTCTGAGAAACTGCCATATTGATTTCCAAAGTGGTTATACAAGTTTGCATTCCCACCAGCAGAGAGTGTTCCCCTTATTCCATGTCCTCTCCAACATAGGCTGTCATTAGTGTTTTTGATCTCGGCCATCCTAACAGGTGTAAGATGGTATCTCAGGTTCATTTTAATTTGCATTTCCCTAATGGCTAAGGATGTTGATATACAATTCTTTAAGTATGTCTCCATGCTGTTTTTTATTATGGTAGCTCTGTAGTATGATAGCTCTGAAGTCAGAGGTGATGATACCTTTAGCAGTTTTCTTATTATTTAGGATTGTTTTAGCTATGCTGAGTATTTGTGTTTCCATATGAAGATGAAGAGTTTTTTGTTTTTGTTTTTTTAATTTCTGTGAAGAATTATGTTGGAATTTTTATGAGAATTGCAGGTTGTATCTAATCTGTAGATTGTTTTTGGTAGGATGGCCATTTTTATAATATTGAACCTACAGATCCATGAGCGTTGGAGATCTTTCCATCCTCTGATATCTTCAGTTTCTTTCTTCAATGTCTTAAAATATTTATTATACAAGCCTTTTACTTTCTTGGTTAGAGTTACTCGTGTGTGTGTGTGTGTGTGTGTGTGTGTGTGTGTGTGTGTGTGTGTGTGTATGTGTGTGTGTGTATGTGTGTGTGTGTATGTGTGTGTGTGTATTTAGATAGCTTGATAGACATAGATATATAGACACATGCATGCAACACGAAAAATAAAAGACCCAGAGACTGATATTGGGATTCAAACTTCAAGCTGAAGGTCAGAAAAGCAAAGCAGCAGGCCACTAGCTCTTACCACTACCTCAGGCTGCCCGTTCTTGCTCTCAGCATGGCTGGAGAATGAATGCTCCTATCTTCATTGTGGCTAGAGAATGAATGCCTATCCTCAATGTGAATGCCTGATATTGACTCCTTGCTCCTGTCTTATATAACTCTCTAGTTCTGGGATTAAAGGTGTGAGCTCTGTTACTCTTTTAGACTGATTCAATCTCATGTATCCTTGGGTGGCCTTGAATTTAGAGAAATCCGTCTACCTCTTAATCCTGAGTCCTAAGATTAAAGGTGTGTACCATCACCTCCTAGCTTCTGACTGCTGGGATTAAAGATGTGTGCTTGGCTTTTATGGCTTGTGGCAGACTGCTTTCTGATTCCTCAGGCAAGCTTTAATAAATCATAAATAATGTATCAGTACACACACACACACACACACACACTATATATATATATATATATATATCACCTTTGTTTAAATACATTGATTAGAATTTTCATAATGGAAGAATTTCTGCTTTTTAGTTAATTTATGTTCAATAGCATTTGATATTTGTTTTGTTTTGTTTTTCAAGACAGGGTTGCTCTGTAGCTTTGGAGGCTGTGTCCTAGAATTTGCTCAGTAGACCAGGCTGGCCTGCAACTCACATAGATCTGCCTCCCAAGTGCTGAGATTAAGATGTGTGTCACTACTGCCTGGCTTGATTTATTTTTTAATGCTTTTGGTACTTAACTCAGGGCCTTGGACATGTTGGGCCCTAAGCTGCTATTTAGAGCAGACTTCCCCCTCTTTTAGCAACACAACACAGAAGTTGGACACTTAACAGAAGTTCTTAAGGAAAAGAATAAAGAGAGCAAGAGAATGAGGTCCTCATTTGATGCCCTGAGAGAGCTGAATGATAACTTAAGAAAACAGGTGAGACCTACTTTGTATATATTAGATGCTGCTAAGACTTAAGACTTATATTTCAGAAATTTCAGTCAGTCTTAAAACATTTCAGCTAGAATTTCATTGAATTTGTTAGCTTTACTATAAGATTCTTGTAAATATAGATAAAATATTTAAATTCTTGCTTCTTTTTCATCTGTTTTGATAAACAGCCGATATATTTGGCAATTTAAAAAATTAAAAATAAAATCTAGTTTTACTAGATTCACAGCAAGCACAGGGACTGGAGAGATGACTCAGTGGTTATGAGCCCTGATTGCCCTTCCAGAGGTCTGGGTTTAGCTCCTAGCACCCCAAGTGGATGTTCACAATTGTCTGTAACTCTAGTTTTAGGGGATCTGCTGCCCTCTTTGGCCCCCACAGACATTGCATGCTTGTGTTGCACAGACAAGCATATAGGCAAAACACTCAATAGGTTTCTATTGCTGTAAAGAGACACCATGACCATGACAACTCTTTTAAAGGAAAACAGTTAATTGGGTCTGGCTCACAGTTCAGAGGTTTAGTCCATTATGATCATGGCAGGAAGTATGTGGCAATCAGGCAGACATGGTGCTGAAGAGGTGGCTGAGAGTTCTTTTTTTAAATATTTATTTATTTGTTTGTTTTTTTGAGACAGGGTTTCCCTGTATTGCTTTGGAGGTTGTCCTGGAACTCACTCTGTAGGACAGCCTGGCCTCGAACTCACAGAGATCTGCCTGCCTCTGCCTCCCAAGTGCTGGGATTAAAGGTGTGACACCAACACCAGGAGGCTGAGAGTTCTTTATCATCAGGCAACAGGAAGAGAATGAGCCAATAGGTGGGGCTTGAGCATCTGGGACCTCAAAGTCCATCCCCTAGTGACATACTTGCTCCAACAAAGCTACACCAACTTCAGCAAGGTCACACATCCTAATAGTGCCACTCCCTATTGGCCTATGGAGGCCATCGTCTTTCAAACCACCATACCCATGTACATATATTTTTTTCTTTTTTAAAGCAAGTACAAGAAAAACTTGGGAATTTGAGAATGAATCAACTTTTAGGCATTGATTTAGGTTTAAATACTTTTTATAACTGTATACTACTACTAATTTAAAACAAGTATCTACTAAGTGTTAGACACTGTGCTAGACTTAAGCCTTTTTTGCTCATAGCTAGTGTATATAAAATGGTACTATATTGTACAATAACCACTTATATATGAGTTATAATTATTGTCAATACATAATCCTAAAATTGCTTAGCAGAAACGTTTTTTTGTGTGTTGTAACTTCTTTTATTTTTCCTTCTGTTATTTTTTTTCCTAAAAGGTGAAAATGAGGGAATATGGGTGAAGATAGAGAAAAGACTGATTATGTATATTGACTTGGTTAGGGTTCCTTTTGCTATGATTAAACCAAGACCAAAAGCAACTTGGAAATGAAAGGGTGTATTTCAGCTTACAGTTGTAGTCTTATTGCTGTTGTCTCTCACAAAGGGAAGTTAGGGTAGGAACTTGAGGCAGAAGATGAAGCAGTAAGTGCTGTTGACTGGCTTGGTGTCCATGACCTGCTCAGCCTGTTTTCTTATACCATCCAGGACTAACTCCCAAGAGTGGCACTGCCCCCAGCAAACTGGGTTCTCCTCACATCTCAATCACTAATCAAGAAAATGCCCCACAACTTGCCTGCAGGCGAATCTATAGAGGCATATTCTCAATTAAGATTCCCACTTCCTCACTCCTTTGATTCCAGCACTCAGGAGGCAGAGACAGGCCCATCTCTGTGAGTTCAAGGCCTGCCTGGTCTAAAGAGGGAGTTTCAGGACAGCTATGGCTGTTGACATATGACAGCTATGACAGAGAAACCCTGTCTCAAAAAAAAAAAAAAAAAAAAAAAAAAGATTCCCACTTCCCATGTAAGTGTTGACTTGTTGAAGTTGACAGAGCCAACAGCACATGTATATTGATTGGGGAGAAGTAAGTGGGAAGAGACTGAGATAAACGTAGGGACACACTGGACATGGTAGTGTGCATGGAGTCCCAGCTCTTTTAAGAACAAAAGTGAAACAAAACTTATAAAGCATAGGATTGAGAAACTGGGGATTTTATTCATTCATTCAGCCATTCATTTAGTTTTTTGGTTTTTGTTCCCCCCCCCCCAAGATAGGGTCTCTCTGTATAGTCCTGGCTCTCCTGGAACTCTCTCTGTAGACCAGGCTGGCCTCAAACTCACAGAGATGGGGCTACCTCTGCCTCTAGAGTGCTGGGATTAAAGGTGTGTGCCACCACCGCCTGGCTCCATTCACTTTGTTTTGAGACAGGATTTCACTGTGTACCTCTGGCTGGCCTGAAACTTGCTATGCAGATCAGGCTGGCCTCAAACTCACAGAGACCCACCTGTCTCTGCTTCCTGAGTTCTGGGATTAAAAGTGGTGACTTTAAATTTAGTATGTTCAAGAAAGCAGAAGACAGGAGATTGAGAACGTCTTAAAGTGTGTACTGAAAGATAGGTGACATGGCTGTGTTGAAGGTGCTTGTTTTTCTAAGCCCAAAGACCTGAGATTGATTTCTAAGACCCACATGGGCAAAGAGAACCAACTCCCCACAAGGTGCCCTCTGACCTCCACACATGTGCTCCTCCACCATATAGCAAATAAGTCAAAGTAATGCTGTTCATCATTGAAGAAGTCAGGGCAGGAACTCAAGCAGGACAGGATCCTGGAGGCAGGAGCTGATGCAGAGGCCATGGAGGGGCGCTGGTTACTGGCTTGTTCCCCATGGCTTGTTCAGTCTGCTTTCTTATAGAACCCAGGACCACCAGCCCAGGGTAACACCACCTTCAATGGACTGGGCCCTCTTCCATCGATCACAATTAAGAAAACTCCCTACAGGCTTGCCTGCGGCCTGATGTTATAGAGACATTTTCTCAATTGAGGCTTCCTCCTCTAAGATGACTTTAGCTTGTGTCACGTTGACATAAAACCAGCCAGTGCAAGGTCCATAAAAATTTTACTTCCAAAACATTTCCCTTTAGGCATTATCTTTGTTACTTTTCCTGTTGCTGTGATAAAATACCCAACAAAGGCAGCTGAAGGGAGGAAGATGTGATTTATTTGTCTCAGAGTCCAAGGATAAGGTCAGTCAGGGTGGGAAAGTCATGTGGCAGGAGCTGGAGAAGGCAGCTGATGACCGTGCATCTGTAATCAAGAAGCAGGGAGCAGTGAATGCCTGTGCCCAGCTAGCTTCTGCTTTTTATGTCATCTAGGACCCAAGCTCTCACAATAGTACCGCCCTGTTTTATAGGTCTTCCCACCATGCTTAACCTAATCAAGATGACCCCTCAGAGGTGTGCCACAAGGCACATGGGGGGACCTGCCTTGTGAATAATTACAGATTGCTAATAGGCAACACTAGTCATCACAGGAATTTTGCAGATTTTTCATAAATTGTAAAATTTAGTAGATACTGTTAATGTTTTAGAGTGAAATGGGAATTTTTTGACTGTTTTGTTACAGTGCTCAGTTGAATATCTGGTAATATTAGATAGTACCTAATTAGGAGAAATCCTTTATATTAAAATAGTTTAAAATGTCTATTGAAATATGCCATTTTCCCTTTCCTTAGCTACATGAAGTAAGTGAAGAAAACAGGAAGATGGAGATTCAGGCAAAAAGAGTTCAAGCTCGTTTAGATAACCTACAGGTAAGTTGCCTGCTTCTCTCCTGAGCTTTTGTTTTATTTTTATTTTTTTAGGGTATTTGTGTGTATGAGTTGCTGTATCCCATGTGTGTGTAGTTGCCCACAGAGGCCAGAAGAGGGCATTGGAGCTCCTGGAGTTGGAATTGCAGGCAACCCTGAGCTACCCAACTGATGTCTGGTCTTCCAAGAGCAGTACCTTCGCTTAACTGCTGAGATAACTCTCTAATCCCCACCATAATGTTTATATCAGTTAATCATTTTATGTGTATGAGTGTTTTGTCTGCATGTACGTCTGTGCACCATGTGTATTGCCCAGTGCCCATGGGAGTCAGAAGAGGCCATTGTATCCCCTGGAACTGGAGTTAGAGTTGGCTGTGAGCTGCCATGTGGTTGCTGGGAATCGAACCCTAGTCCTCTGGAAGAGCAGCCAGTGCTCTTAACTGGTGAGCTGTCTCTTTGGCTCTGTCTTGAGTTTGTAGATGATTTGCTTGCTTTTTGTAAGATTGCTTCTTAATTCATGACTGTGATGTTGGCAGAGAAAGTACGAGTTTATGACAATACAGAGGCTGAAAGAAGATTCCCATGCTACTCACGAAATGAAAAGTTTAAAACAAGAGAAAGCACCAGTTTCAAAACCTGTCAAGGTATGCTATTATTCAAATTTCCTCTTACTCTTTAATCATTTTTCTTTCTATTATAAGCAAAACATATATTTTGTTTTGAAAGAATTCATCTTAATTATTTTACAGAAGCGTCTTAATAAGTTTTCTGTATTGCAATAATAGGTTTCTCCACCGACACAATAAGCCAGATCAAGCAGAATTGAAAAAGTGAAAGACCAAGTTTATTTGAGCAAAGTAACTCCTGGGTTTCATGAAAACATTTTTTTTTTTTTTTTTTTGCAAAAACAAAATATTTCATCACTTTTTTAGTACAGTGACACTGACAAGCCACAGGGCCCTTTAAGGTAACCTGTTGTTAATAAAGTTATTTTCCTGTCAAAACCACACCCCTACCTATGAGCTTTTTAATCAACTTACTTGATTTGTTCAGCAGATTTATTTTTGGTTCACAGCTTCAGGGATCTCAGCCATGGTAATTTGGCTCCCTGTTTTGTGGCCTGTTTTGTTTGTTGTTTGTTTTGTTTTTGTCTTTTTGCCAGCTTGACACAAGTTAGAATCATCTGGAAAAAGAGACTCTTAATAGGGGATTTCCCTTATCACATTACCTGTGGGCAAGTCCGAGGCATTTTCTTAGTTGCTGACTGGTGTGGGAGGGTCTGCTGTGGGATGCCACCTTAGGCAGGTGGTCCCGGGTGGTATGAGAAAGCAAGCTGAACAAGCCCTGGGAAGCAGGGCAGTGAACAGTACTTCTCTATGGTTTCTGCTTCAGCTCCTCATCTAGGTTCTTGCTTTGAGTCTCTCTCTTGACTTCATTTCAGAATGAACTGCTATCAGGTTGTGGAAGCCAAATAAATTCTTTCCTCCACAAGCTGCTTTTGTCTCAGTGTTCATCACAGCAATAGGAAGCACTAGGGCAGGGCCTATGGTGAGGCAGTAAGTACATCATGACAGAAGGACATGTAGTGAAGCAGATGTGCTCACCGCAAGATAAGCCAGGAAACAGTGGAGGAAGGGATGGAACAAGCTATATCCTTCAAGGGCATGATTCAATGACATTCCTCCAACTAAGCCCCATTTCCAAGTCCATCTTCTTCCAATAATGTCATCAAATTATGAGTTCATCAATGATTAACTCATTGGTTATTTATCATTGATTAAGTCATTGTTAATTCATCATTGATTGAATCAGAACTTTCATGATCTAGTTAGTTACTTTCACTTCTCAAATCCCTGTCTCCCTACATTGCATTTTGGAGGAACAACTTTTATTCAGATCATAACACTATCCTGAATGGGCTCTGTGAATCCATAATTTTTTTAAACTTGAAGTACAAATCACATATAACAACATACTGGGTTTTTCTCCTGTAAAATCTGTTCAGTTTTGGTAAGTACCTTTTCTCATGCCATCTACAAACACATACAGCACTCGAATGTCCCTCTCTGCCCTTCCCTATTCATTTCAATCCTCCAGAAGCGGTTGTTGACTTGAGTTCTATCATCCTAGCATGTTTGGCTTATTTGATAGATTTAGTCTGTAGAATTAGAATCACATAGTATCGATTTGATTGGTTAAGGCTTTTCTTTTCTCAAGATCATGTTGGTTGCATTAGTAGTATGTCAGTAGTATTCCATTGTATGCATTTTTCACAGTTCACTTATCCATTCTGTGGATAGATACTTGTGTTGTTTTTCGTTTTTGTATCTTAGAAATAAAAGTGCCACAGATATTCACATACAAGGATTTTTGTGGACATGTTTGCATGCTTCAATGTATACGAGAACCAGAATTTCTGAGTTATAAGTTAGATGTGTATTTTTAAGAAAATGTCCCTTTTCCAAAATCTTACCATTTCATATTTCTAGCAATGTCTGAAAGTTCTGTTTGCATAACAAACTTTCTGGCATTTGACAATTTTAATCTCTTCCAATTTGACCCTTAAAATGCATGTATAATTGTGTCTTACTGTAGACTTTAATCTTTTTGATACGTTTTATAATTCTTTATGTAAGTTGGAAAAAGGTGGAGATTTTATGCCCAGGTACTTGCTTGGAGAGATGGTTTGGTGGTTAAGAGCACTGGCTATTCTTCTGTCAAGCAGACTTGGGTTCCGTTGAATTCCCAGCATCCACATAGTGGCTGACAACTGTCTGTAATTCCAGTTGCAGGGAATCCAATACCTTCTTCTTGGTCTCTGGAGACATTGGACACAAGTGGTTTGCAGAAATGCATATAGGCAAAACACTAATAAACATAAAATATAAATAAATAAACATTCAAAAAATTTGTAGCTAGAGACCAAGATTATTGAAAATCTAAAAGTAGTTAGTTTCTACTTGAAGAAAAAATTAAGTTTATATAAATAAGTAAATAAATATATTAAGGTAATTCTTATAGGGGCTGGAGAGATGCCTCAGAGGTTTAAATCGTCAATTGCTCTTCCAGAGGTCTGAGGTCAATTCCCAGCAATCACATGGTGGCTCACAACCTTCTATAATGAGGCCTAAGGAGACCAGCATATCTTTGAGCTCTGGGTTGGATGAGAGACCCTAACACAATGAATATCATGTAAGATATCAACCTCAGACCTCCATATGCATATACTCCCACAGCATGTGAAAACATGTGTATACACACATTCAATCCACACATACAAAAATTGGGAAAACAAAAATATAGAGACAGGAACTTTTATTTGGAAATAGTAAGATTGTTCTCCAAGAGACATGCACAGGCCAGCTTTTGGTATAACTGGAGATTAAAGCAAACTTTGGGAATTTTATTAGGACAAAGACATCTACAAATTATTCTGAAACAAAGTTTTTTGGAACTTGGGAGTGCTGCAAGCTCTGGTCATCAAATAGAAACATTTCTTTGTAAAGCTAAGGCTCATAGTTGATAGATGTTAAGTAAAAATAGTCAAAGATAGGGAAGACCATTTTGTTAGATTGACTCAAAAATAGTTTTTGGAGTAGGATCTGTTTGTGTTCCTGGGATGTGACAGGAAGGATTCTGTTTTTTCCTGTTTTGGTTTTTAAATTTTATTTATTATTTTTGTTTGTTTTTGTTTTTTCAGACAGTGTTTCTCTATGTAGCCCTGGCCATCTTCAAATTCGCTATGTATACCAGGCTGACCTCGAACTCAGAGATCCACTTGCCTCTGCCTTCAGAATACTGGGTCAAAGGCATTTGCCACCACTGCCTGGCTTGTTTTTATTCTTTGAGATAGGATCTCCCTCATGTAGCCTAGATAGACCTTGAACTTGCTCTGTAAACTGAGGGTGACTCCTAGTAAGGGTTTTCTAAAGCAACAGAGTAGGTAGATAGATAGATAGATAGATAGATAGATAGATAGATAGATAGATAGATAGATAGATTCACATAGATAGAGTATATTCACATTTATGTATTATATGAAGGGATGTATTAGACTGACTTATAGACTGTGATCCAAGTAGTCCAACAATGGCCGTCTCCTGATGGGAAGGCTAAGAAGCTAATAGTTGTTCTTCTAAGAGGCGGCAGTACTGATCTTGTGCTGGAGTCCTAGAGAGCTGCTGGTCTTCAGTCTACATTAGAGTCTACAAGAAGGAGGCAAAGGAATGCCTCAGCAGCAGGATAGATGAACTTGCCAAGAGAATGAGGGCAAGCAGGCAAAGAGCAAAGCTGCCCTTCCTTGCCCCATGTCCTTTTATTTTGGCTGCCACCAGGTGTGACCCTGACTTAGGGTTGGTCTTCCAACCTCAAATTGTCCACTCAAGAGAATTCCCCCAGCTGCTTGGGTTTAATGTATTTTTATTTTTTTATGGGATGAAGCACAGGTCACACACATGCTATGCAAGTGTTCTACACTTGAGTTATAGTCCAGACCTTTGTCTTACTGCTTTTTTCTTCTGTTTTGGTAGGCTCCCAGGGAATAGGGTTTCTGGGAAGAAAAATTGCACATCATGTTTATATCAGGTTGTTATTACAAAGAAAGTAAGTTTTGTAGGAAGAAAATATGAAATCCCACAGTAGAGATTCTTTAGTTTAGGGAATCATAGAGTCTGTATTGTTAGACTTTTTTTTTTAAGACAGGCTGGTCCATGCTGTTGAATTAAAGCCATTTTTTTTTTTTTACATTTTTTGTTATCAGACCTAAATAATTTTTTTTTTTTCGAGACAGGGTTTCTCTGTGGCTTTGGAGGCTGTCCTGGAACTAGCTCTTGTAGACCAGGCTGGAACTCACAGAGATCTGCCTGTCTCTGCCTCCCCAGTGCTGGGATTAAAGGTGTACGCCACCAATGCCCCGCCAGATTTAAATTATTTTAAATTTTTTTCAGCTGGGCATGGTGGCGCACGCCTTTAATCCCAGCACTCAGGAGGCAGAGACAGGCAGATCTCTGTGAGTTTAAGACCAGCCTGGTCTATGAAGCAAGTTCTAGGACAGCCAGGGCTGTTATATAGAGAAAAACTATCTCAAAAAAAAAAATAATAATTTTTTTTCCCTTGCTTTCCATACAGAGTCTTACTGTGTATGTAACCCTGCTTGGCTCAAACTCAGTCTTCTTGCTTTATCTTCTTTAGTACTTGGATGGGGCTATATAGACTAGGGCCACTGTAATATAGCCACTGAAAATTTTTTATTATAGCATTAAAGTATACTTTTATTTCCCTCATTATGATGAATTTACTTGTCTTATCTAAGCAGGCATTTAATGTTTTGAATATAATTGTCAGTATTTGATTTGAAATTGATTTTAGGTAAACACCTAAACACTTGTCTAAAAATAATTTAGGTAAATTATTGTATAACCACCAAATTTAAGGCTTTCTTTTTAGGTTTTTATGGGGTTTTCAAGTTCAGTCATGTTTGGTTTAATGTTTGATCAACAGACGGCACTCAGTGGACAAGTGTATGAACTGTTAATTGTTTTCATGGACTGGATATCAGACCACCATCTTAACAAAGTGGAGCCTGAAGAACCTGGTGTGGACGGTGAAAAACCATCATTCAAACCTTTCCAGAAAAGTGACATTCAAGAGAAGTGTGTAAAGGTTGGTTTTTTAAGACTCACTCATTTTTATTTTATCTGTAAGAGTGTTTTGTTCCACATGTGTGCCTGGTGTCTGTGGAGGCCAGAAGAGGGTGTTGGACCCCCTGGAATTGGAGTTAAAGAAGATTGAGAGCCAGTGTGAGTGCTTCGAACCTAAGCTGGGTCCTTTGTGCAAGCATTTAACCACTTCGTCATTTCTCTAGCCCCCAAGGTTTTGTTTTGTTTTATTGTTAATTTGAAATACATGAAGATTAAGTAAGGAAAAGCCTTTGGCATATTTATTTATTTATTTACATCTATTTATTTAACCGGGGGGGGGGGGGGGGGAAAAACAATGCCGGAACACACATGGAGGTCAGAGGACAACTTTCTGGAGTCAGTTCTCTCCTCCCACTATGTGTGTCAGTATTCAGGTGTCTGTACTGGCCTGTCTTTGGGGTTCTGACAGGATTAACCCTCAGCTGCAGTCACTAAGAGCACCACCTGTGTCCATTTACCAAGTTCCCTTTTAAAAGGGCCCTGCCCACCTCCCTTCCTTCTCTCTCTTTCTCTCCCTCTCTCTGTGTGTTCCTCTTTCTCTCTCTCCCTCTCTCTCCCTCCCTCCATCCCTCCCTCCCTTTCCTTTCTCCTGTCCCCAGAGGCCAGTCGCCCTGCTCTCCTTTCCCCTAATTGGAAAAACAACAACAACAAAAAAAAAAAAAAAAAAAAAAAAAAAAAAAACCTTCTGCTTGAACTGAATGTTGGATGGCATCTTTCTCCCTTGAGCTGCTTTTTAAAAATTACAACAATGTGGTTCTCAGTCTTCCTGGCAAGCACCTTTACCCACTAAGCCATCTTACTTGTTCTGACATTTTAAAAAAATTAGATCCATATATTTTATTTTATGCGAGCATATTTTGCCTACATGTATGTATGTGTACCACATGCGTATATGGTGCCTGCAGCAGGCAGAAGAGTGTTTTGGATCCTCTAGATCAGTGGTTCTCTACCTGTGGGTGGAGACCCCTGTGTGTGTGTAGGGGGGGGAAGTGTCAAATGACCCTTTCACAGGAGTTGCCTAAGACCATTGGAACACACAAACATTTACAGTACGATTCATAACAGTAGCAAAATCACAGTTATGAAGTAGCACAGAAAATAATTTCATGGCTGGGGAGGTCAGCACAGCATGAGGAACTGTTTAAAGGGTCCCAGCGTCAGGAAGGTTGAGAGGCACTGCTCTAGACGCAGAGTTGCAGATGGCCGTGAACCACCACATGATGCTGGGAATGGAACCCCAGTCCTCTGTAAGAGCAAGATGTGCTCTTAACCCCTGAGCCGTCTCTCCAGCCCCAACTTTCTGACACGTTTCTAAGTGAAAACTGTTGAAAGTGTTTTTGTTTTGTGAGGCAGGATCTCAGTATGTAACTTTGGCTGTCCTCAAATTCACTCTGTAGTTCAGGATGGGGTTAAATTTAGGATTCTCTTGTCACTGCTTCCATTATAAATATGCGCTTCTGTATATGACTTAGGAGCATTTTTGCTAGAAAATTGTGTATACCAACAGTTTTTTTTAACATGATTCATTTCGGACCTCAATATTAATTCATACTAAGTTTGAAAGGTTTATTTTATATGTGTGCATGTTTTGCCTACATATATGTATGTGTGCTAGATTCATGCAGTGCTCAAGGAGCTAGAAGAGGTTTATGGGCCCTCTGGAACTGGAGTTACAGACTGTTGTGAGCCACCATGGGATTCTGGGAACTAAACCCTTGTATTTGTAGTTTTCTTAATATGATGGGAATTGTTTTTTTAAAGGTAGAGACATGATCTTAATAAAATGCTGAAAGGTGCCCAAATGGTCATCTCTTCAGTGATGTGAGTAGTTCTTCCTACATACAGTCGTAGATTTGAAACCTATTTGGATAATTCTGCTTTAATTTATTTTAATTCTATTTGGGATTAAAGGTAAAATCTCTGCCTTCACGGGTTCTCATCATCAAAGGCAAATATTTCCTAATGTTATTACCAATGCTCAAGATTTATAACTCATATGACAGGTATTTAGAGATTGACACTTACTATAAGGACTTTGAGGGAAGGACAGATCTTGTTTGTTATTTTCAGGAAGAACTTCACGATTATTAAGTAGTCCAGGATTTTAAGCAAATTATATTCATCTTTTTAAAAATCTTTAGCTACAATGGCCCTTCAAAATGTCTTTTGTGCTAGGTGGAATAATGGCTGCAAAAATGCTCCCATTCTGACCTTTGGAACCTGTCAGTATGTTTTGATATATGACAGGAAGGAATGGAAAGTGCCAGTCGCTGTCCTTGAAACAGAGAGCTTCCCCAGGTTTCCAGGCAGGTCCAGCACACCGAGTCTCTAAGCTGGAAAGGAAGTTAGAAGAATAGGTTGAATACTCAGTGTATCCTTGCTGGAGTTGAACATGGACCTACATTAGACCTAAGTGTTGTTTAAACATACTTCATGATACTTTATTATAGCTATAATAGGACACATTTGATTTAGATTTTTTTCACTTTTTTATTTTTTATTTACAATTTTTAATACCTATATAAACTATTTCTCTATAGCAAGTTCAAAGCCAGAAGTGAATTCATGAAACTATCTCAAAAATAATTTCAAAAATGAAATCTGAACTGGGCCTGCTATCACATGCCTTTATATCCTAGTACCCAGGAGGCAGAGGCAGGTGGATCTCTGAGTTTGAGGCCAGCCTAGTCTACAGACCAAGTTTCACGCAAACCAGGAATACATGGTTAAGACCCTATCTATAAAAAAGAAAGAAAGAAAGGAAGGAAGGAAGGAAGAAAGAAAGAAAAAAGAAAAAAATTTACATTAACTTAATATATTTATGTCACATCTGGCTCAGATTCATTTTATCTTTATGAATAATTTTAATAGACTTAAGACAAGAGGAAAACACATTGCCACATATAAAGGAACCTCTGTGAACATGTTAGCAGCTCTTGTAGCAGATCCTGGTGAGCCAGTTGTGGCACATAGTATTGAATTTAAAACTGTCAGATACCCTGTGTTCAGTAGAACTGCCTTTCATAAATGGAGAAACAAAGACTCTCAGATAAACAAAAGCTGAGGGGTTTATTAACCACTGGCCTACTGGAGATACTAAAGGGAATCGGTTAGGATGGAATGAAAGCTCACATAAGCCATATGAAAGAATAAATATGGTGAGTAGCAGTGTAACTTTGATATAAAGTGTGTAATATAAAAACTGTAAAATTTCTGAAAGAAATTTAAGATATCTAAATAATGAATATCCATAGTCTGAAGACTATGTCAGCTCCCAACCCCAAATTAATCTGCATATTCAGTGCATTATTCAAATTTCAACTGACTTCTTTGTAGAAATGGATAGACCAATCCTAGAAGTCATTTAGTTGGTTTTTAGAAAATTGTGGCAGTTAATTTCAGATACCTGAAATTCAGATAAATATGTGGGTTTTTGTTTCCCATTACTTTCAGCTTTTGCCTTTGATGACAGAGCAGCTCCAGTGGATGCCATTGGTGAACCCCAAAATCCATGAGCCATTTCTAAAGTTTATATATTGGTCTCTAAGGCAGCTGCATCCTGGAACACAGGTACTGACTCATCAGAATCTATCTTCTAGTAGACTCTATTTGGTATCAGTTCTCTTGGTTATGTTTCACAGAAAAATAAATAGTACACCACATGTGTGCAATCTGTGTATTAGTTGAGAACAGTCTTCTCTATACAATGCCGTCCTAAGGTTTTGATAGGAATTGTATTCAGCTTGTATACCAATTTCATGTGCTGAGTCTTTTGACATAGGAATGTAACCATCTTTTCACTCACAGCTCTGTGTTCTTGCACCGTGGCTGTATAATTTTTGCGTAAAATTCATGTGTGGACTCTTTAATTTTTAACTATTTGAGTTGTTTTGAGTGGTTTTTATCTGTTAAATTTTGTTGTCCATATGCTTATGGTGATAGATCGTGTCTTTCTTAAGAGTTTCTGTTGCTGTGAAGACACACCATGACCATGGAAACTCTTATAAAGGAAAACATTTAATTGAGGTGGTGGCCTGTTATCATGAGAGGGAACCTCTCATAGTTGAGAGTTTTAGTTCATTATCATGGTGGTAACCAAGGCAGCATGCAGGAAGACATGGTGCTGGAGAAGTAGCTGAGAGTACTACATCTTGCAGGCAACAGGAAATGACCTGGGACACTGGGAAGGGTCTTGAGCATGGGAAACCTCAAAGTCTGCCCTCACAGTGACACATTTCTTCTAACAAGGCCATACCCACTTCAACAAAGCCGTACCTCCTACAAGTGCCACTCCCTATGAGATGGTGGTGGTCAATTATATTCAAACTACCATAGCATGTAAATATATAATTGACTAATAAGGAATATTGATCTTTGGTTTTTGTGTTTTTAATCTTTATTGGTATTATTTGTGTTTGATTTATAAAAATTGAAATCACCTTATCCTTTATATTTCTTAAATGCTATAAGCAGTGTCTTAGTTAGGGGTTCTATTGAACCCCTAACTAGTTAGGGTGTCTATTGAAGAGACACCATGATTACAGTAACTCTTAAAAAGGAAAGCATTTAATTAGGGCTGGTTTGCAGTTCAGAGGTTTGATCCGTTATCATTATTGCAAGAAGCAAGGTAGCATAAAGGCAGACTCAGTGCTGGAGAGGTAGCTGAGAGTTTTACATCTTGATATAATGCAGGCAGCAGCAGGAGACTGTCACACTGGGTGTAGCTTGAACATATAAGACCTCAAAGCCTGCCCCCACATCTCCTAATAGTGCCACTTCCTGTGGGCCAAGCATTCAAACACACAAGTCTATGGAGGTCATTCCTATTCAAACCACCACAGGTGAATAGTATGGATTTTTTAAATGTTTGGTAGTATTCAGAACACTAGAGACTATTTTTTTATATGAGTGTGTGCTTGCGTGTATGTAAATGCACCATGTGCATGCAGCATCCACAGAGGCAAAGAAGAGCATTGAATAGCCAGGAACTGGAATTACAGAGGGTTGTGAGTTGCTAAGTGGGTGCTGGGAACTGAACCCAGGTCCTCTGCAAAACTAGTAAGTGCTCTCAACCATTAAGCCATCTCTTTACCGCTGAGATTTATTTGGGGAAAAGTTTTAAGTTATGAATTCAATTTTTCTTAAAGTGTGTGTGTGTGTGTGTGTGTGTGTGTGTGTGTGTGTGTGTGTGTGTGTATTTGTGCACCATATGCCCTTGCACCATGTGGAGGTCAGAGGACAACTTTGAGGACAATTTCTACCATGTGGGTCCTAAAGATTAAACTCTGGTTGTTAAGTTTGACAACAGGGGCCTTTCCCTGCTGAACCATGTCACCAGCCCCAGATCAAATTTTCCTTATAGTTACAAGGCTATTTTGAATTTTCTAGCTTCCAGTAGTTTGTGCTTTTTGAGGAAATGAACCACTTTGTCTTGCTGACAGATACATATATCTAATATTTGGAATGTAAAAATAAAATGAAAACAGGCACAACATATATGGCTATCTGAAATCAGCTGCTGCAAGCTGACTGTTTTCACAGTGGCCGTCTCTCTGATGTGCCCCAGTGTCCAGAACAGTAGCTCTGCTACACAGCAGTGCGGAGAATTTGTGGGCTTGTTTTTTCCTTACTTTGGTTGTTTTTCGTAAACTGTTTTTTATTGATCTTTCAAACAATGCTTACTTTAAAAAAAAAGGTCCATACTTGTTTTTTTAAGTTAATTATACAGTTTTAATTCTAAATTTGCATGTTTTCAATTCTATTTTTCATAAGTATATGTTTTAATGCATAAATTTGACCAAAGTATTTAAAATTGATGATTGTGTATATATATATATACACTATATATATATATATATATATATATATATATA